CCTCTCTCTCTCTCCTCTCTCTCTCTCTCTGCCTCCCCTGCGTGTGTGTGTGTTTTCTCTGTCAAAATAAACTATGCAGTAGTTAAAATCGACTTGACTTTCATGTGTCCATAGAGATATGCTATCTAAAATCATAACTGGGTAAAAACATGGAGTGATGGGTACAGTGTAATTATATGAGTTTTAAAAGCATTCGAGGAGTATCTGGGTGGCTCAGTTAAGTGTCTGACTTTAGCTCAAGTCATGATCTCACAGTTTGAGTTTGAGCCTTGCATTGGGCTCTGTGCTGACAGCTCAGAGCCTTGGATCCTGTTTCAGATTCTGCGTTTCCCTCTCTGCCACTCCCCAGCTCATGCTGTGTGTGCCTCTCTCTCAAAAATAAACATTTAAAAAAATAATTTAAAACATCCAAGAAAGCATTATAATATAGTCAAAAATTTTGCTTTGGAAAATAGTAATTTTCTCTGGGTAGGGAGAAGAGTGCAATTAGACATGATACATAGGGAACTTCACCTTTACGTGAAATGTTTTATTTGTAAAGATTTTGAAGCAAGGTTAGTAAAATGTACGCTTTGATGTAGCTGTGTAATAGCTGCTTGGGTGTTCTGGGTGCTTGAATATTTCATAAAGCAGTGGCAAAACGAAGCATATAATCTTGTGAAGCGCTGAGCTTTCTGTCTCTAATAGTCTTCAAAGTGAGGCTTAGAGAGGAATTGAATAGTAGTGGTTTTTAGAGAACCTTTGAGGTTTTAAGTGGTCCTTCAGAGGGTTTGGTAGGGAGAGCCACTTAGGCACAATTATGTCTTTCATTTGCTTGTATTAAGCTAAAATTTTTGCATGGGTAATTTACTAAAAGTTTGAACATGCTGTTGTAGATAAGACAGTCTGATATTATAAACCTTAGCTCTTTTTTTTTTTTTTTTAAGTTTTTCTTCTTCAAGTATATTTATTTAAATAGTCTATTCCCAACATGGGGCTTGAATTCACGAACCTGAGATTAAAAGTCGCATGCTTTTCTGACTAAAGCAACCAGGAGCCCCAAATCTTAGAAGTGTTATGATTTTAGTAACATACTTCGTTTGTATTTTAGATGTTTATATGCTTGCTAATGTACGGATTTGTGAGTTTGGCAGATGTAAGGTGAATTATTACTGACGGTTACATTTACTACAAATTATGCTTGATAGCAAATTATTTTGTCTTATAGTATTTTTTTTTTTTTTTAAAGTAAGCTCTATGCCCAACGTGGGACTTGAAGTCACGACCCCAAGATCAAGAGTTGCATGCTTACCTGGCTCATCCAGTTAGCTACTTCAATCTTGTTTTATATTCTTGATTTTTATTTACTCTATGATTTTAACTAAATGCATTTCTAGTTGTAAATTAAGGTTTATAAATGAAAAGGTTATAATTTAAAAGGTTATAAATTTTACTTTTCTTGTATGTTTTTCTTCCATAGTATGAAATTAATCTTTTGGAGTTGATTCAGAGAAGAAGAATTGTAAGTAGATATTCTGGAAATTGGGAAAAATTTGGATTTAAGTAGTGTGACTATAGCTAGAGAGTTGGGTTTGGGAAGCAGTTGGCACTGATAAATTGGTGATGTGTTCATAATGGGTGTTTGTAATCTTCTGTTTCCTTTCAGCACCTTTTTAAAAAATACTCACTTCTTTAGAGAGAATGTGCAAGTGGGAAAGTGGCAGGGAGGGAGAAAATCCCAAGCAGGCTCTGCACTGTCAGAGCCTGATGCGAGGCTTGATCTCAAGAACCAACCATGAGATCATGACCTGAGGGAAATCGAGAGTCAGATGCCCAACTGACTGAGCCATCCAGGCCACCCCTGTTAGTACCATTTAGATCAAGTAGGACTGTTGGTGTGGATAAATGTGATTAAATTGAGGCTTTGTTTTTTATGTCACTTTTTAGCGCATCGGATATTCATTTAAGAAGGACGAGATTGAGGACTCTATCGTACGCCGGGTACAAGGTGTCTTCCGACGTGCGTCAGCAAAATGGAAGGTAAGTAGTGATCAGAGCATCTTTAATTGTAAGAGCTGTATTACGATTTCAGTATTCAAATGTATTGTTTATTTTTATCTTGTGTCTCCATATTTAACCTAACACTAATTATTTGAAACCATTTATCAAACCATTAAGAAAATTGATCTCATTACCTTATAGTTATTTTTTGATGATAGTACTGAAAATGGATTTAGTACATGATTAAAGATTAGAAATTTGGGACTTAGGGATAAATCTCTAAGTGAAGTACACTGAAGACTTGGAGGTGGAAGATAGATGGTTTCGAGTAGGGACAGTTCCTCACTTGATACTCTTCAGGTTGGGCTCTGGAACTGGCACATAGTATATGGGGAGTACTTTAGATCCTGGGAATGACAAAATTTAGGGTTGTTACCCCTGATTGAGACCATTTAAGAACTACATTGAGCAAGGGTGCCTAGATGGCTCTGTCTGTTAATCATAACTTAGGTCATAATCTTGTGGTTTCTGAGTTTGAGCTCCATGTCGGGCTCTGTGCTGATATGGAGCCTGCTTTGGATATTCTCCCTCCCTTCCTCCCTCCCTCCCCCTCACTCTCCCCTTCTCTCTGCTCTTCCCATCCTGCTTTCTCAAAAATAAATAAAGTATTTTAAGAAAGAAAACAAGGGGTGCCTAGGTGGCTTAGTCAGTTAAATGTCTGACTTCAGCTCTTGCGGTTTGTGGGTTCGAGCCTCACATTGGGCTTTCTGCTATCAGTACTGAGCCTGCTTTGTCCCCTCCTCTGTCCCCCTCTCTCTTTCTGCCCCTCCCCCACTCAAGGATAGATATTGATGAACATTAAAACAATAAAAACAAAACTACATTGAGCAAATTGGATAGACAACACATTTTGTCTTGAAGCATGGTAGTTTGGAATGGGTGGTCAGACGGAGTTTTCACATTTAAGACATCTAAGACCTCAGTGAGTAACAGGCTAATAGACTGAGCAATATGTAACACATTGGCTTTTCTGAAATCTGCCTCTGTTTCTAAAAAAAAATTAGTGCAAAGGCATATTAGATATAAAGTTCAAATTCGGGCAGCTTACTACATTGTTTTTCTTGCAGGATGATATTCAACTTTGGCTATCCTATATAGTCTTCTGTAAGAAATGGGTGAGTATTGTGCAGCTGTGTCTTACTTTCTCATTCTTTTAGTAAGTCTGCTTTTTAAGTTCCATGCTTGATTGAACTCCATGTTTTCTGCAGAGATGTAGGGTTAGTAAATGGGAAAAGACCCCAGTGTAACAATATTTACATATCTGAATACTATTTAAATGGTTTCTAAGTCAAAAAGTGATCTTTATTCAGTAAAGTTAAAAATTGTGTTTAGATATTTAGGATGTTTACGTGTAGTGGTTTAGGTAGAAGAAAACTGTGACCGTGTCTGTATTTGTTCCTATGTCCCTACAAGAGCATTGGATTTTGAGTTGGTAAGGAAATCGTACAGCTCAGTTAGAGATTACTAACAATGATTTCAGTGTATGGGAAGTTGCTTTGCTTTTTCTCTTTTACAGACCACCAAAGCTCAACTTAGCAAGGTGTTTTCTGCCATGTTGGCCATTCATTCAAACAAGCCAGGTATGGTGAGATCCTTGTCAGTTCTTCTACCTTTTATGTAGACTCAAGCTATTTTGGCATTTATTTTGCTTAATAAGCCTAAAAGAAATTAGTTTGAGAACTGGAGTATCGGTACTTGGCCTCAGCAAGTTTTGGTTTCCCAATAGCTGCCTCTTAGGTCATCTGTATACACTGTGTATCATTTATTGTGTCCTGTGGGTAAGAAGGACTAATTTTATTTTTATTTACTTCTTTATATGCTTTTAAAAGTTTTATTTTAAAGCATATTTTATTTTATTGTTACTTTTAAAAATGTGCTCTGTGTAGGGCACCTGAGTGGCTCAAGTCATTTAAGCCTCCAACTTTGGCTGAGGTCATGATCTCATGGTTTGTGAGTTCAAGCCCCACATCGATCTCTGCTGTCAGCGTGAAGCCTTTTTGGGATCCTCTGTCTCCCTCTTTCTGCCCCTCCCCCTCTTTCTGTCTCTCTCAAAAATAAACAAACATTAAAAATTAAAAAAAATAAAACTCTGCTTGCAACATGGGGCTTGAACTCATGACCCAGAGATCAAGAGTCATGTGCTCTACTGACTGAGCCAGCCAGGAGGCACCCCACCAAGTTTCTTTTTAGATGATAAAATAAACTCTTTGGTCCTTTGAGAGACATTCTGTTTGGATGCATTCACATTTAAGGGTCACTTAAAAGCAAAAACTTAAAAAAGGGCACTTAAAGGGGAGAGTGTTAATGCACATTTTACAAGAGTGCCTGGCACATAGTAGGTACTCATGTTTTGCAAGAGAAAGATTTCTCTTGTGAATACTGTGTGAAGTAGCACATAATTGTATAGCGGAGGTGCTCTAGTGCCTATTCTCAAGTATCAGGTTCAGCCAGGTTCACGCTACACGGCCTAAGATAGGCCACATTTTTTTTTTTAATGTATTATTTACTTCTGAGAGAGAGAGAGACAGCGTGAGAAGGGGAGAGTCAGAGAGAGGGAGACACAGAATGTAAAGCAGTTTCCAGGCTCTGAGCTAGCCGTCATCACAGAGCCTGACGCGGGGCTCGAACCCACGAACCATGAGATCATGACCTGAGCCGAAGTCGGATGCTTAACTGACTGAACCACCCAGGTGCTCCAAAAATAGGCCACATTTGGTACTGATTAATTCAGAAGGATACAGCATTAGGTGAGTTTCTTTAGTAGAGTACTCTTAGCAATTTGGAGGCTAGTTTCTGGTCCCCAAGATGACAGTTCAGGTGTAAGGGAATGAGACCACGTGAATGGGTTGGGGAGCCACTGTGGCTTAGAAGACCTGTGGTTAGGCATAGCTTCCAGGGATCCTAGAAAGGACTGTGCTCAATTTCGAGGATCATAGGCTCAAGAAAGTCCGAAGCAATAGCGCGCTCTCTTTAATAACTTTCTCGTCCAGATGTGGTTACTAACCATGAGCCATTTTTATCAAAAGCAGTCTTGTCTGGTAACATAGCTGACTTTTATTAAATTTCTAGGGAAATAGCTAGAATGTTAACCCAACATTAATTTCCTGTGTAGAAAGACAAAGGTTTTTTTTTTTTTTTAAAGTCCTTATTCCCAATAGGTGTGATAAAAAATTTATTTTTCATATTGAGCCATTCGAAAAATTATAAACTATTTAGATAAAGAAAAAGATTGAAATATTTTTATTTCATTGCTTCTGAAATGCACCATTTCTTCTAGCATTTTTACACCTCTAAAATTTGTATGTGACTTACGATGATGTTGACCTTAGATTGAATGAGGCACATAAGTACCCACAGATATTATCATTAACCTCTTTGCTTCAGAACACTCTAATTTTATTTATTTATTTTTCATTTAAAGTTTATTTTGAGAGAGAGATTGCACATAAGCATCTGGGGGAGGGGCAGAGAGGCAGGGAGACAGAGAATCCCAAGCAGGCTCTGTGCTGTCAGCTCAGAGCCTGACAACGGGATTTGATCCCATGAACCGTGAGATCATGTCCTGAGCTGAACTCCGTACTTAGACACTTAACACACTGAGCCACCAGCTCCCCAGAATACTCTAATTTTAGATAAAGCAACAATACTTTACAAATAAGCATTAGGAACTCCCTCTCTCCATCCCTTTCCTTTTTTGGTAAGATTAAAAAAAATTCTTTGAGTATTAAAATTGGAGCATTGATCTTTTTTTAGTCTGACTCGATCAACTTATTGAAATGAAGTCTCATGTTTTTCATTGATAGCTTTGTGGATTATGGCAGCCAAATGGGAAATGGAAGATCGCTTATCTTCAGAAAGTGCAAGACAGCTATTTCTTCGAGCTCTGCGCTTTCATCCAGAGTGCCCGAAACTTTATCAAGAAGTGAGTTGTGTACCTGTAAGATGAGAGAGTCGTATCTCGGTTTTGGTCCTCTGTAGATATACATTCTTTATTAAGTTAGAGAAGACTTCTGTTTGTGGAGTCTAGGGGTGAGTAGGGGAGCTGATGGAGGAGAGGGGTGAAGCTGTTTCTTGGCTCATAGCCAGTGTTGACCGTGTGCATCATCCAGGTTGTTAGTGACAGACTACGGCTAGGAGGGGTGGGGGGCCAGGGTTCAGCCGTTTTCATACCTTTGTCCTTTTTTCCCCTTGCATCTGCCTGCCTTCTTACCTTCTTTCTCTCCTTTCTGCTGCTTTGGCTCCTCTTCCTCTACTTCTCATTCCTCTTGTCTCTTTTTTTCTTTAGGTAGATCCCTCCTTCCCCACTTGCTGGACTTATTCTCTAGAGGGAGGCACTAAAGCCGTGATGGCCAGACTTTGAATTAAGAAAAAAGCAAATGCTAGAAATGGTGTATTATTAGAAGCTGCCCTTTTCTGAGTTATTTGTCAGGATAAGGGAGAAACTGTTTTGTCTTCAATTGAAAATGAAGCCTTATTGGGACACTTGGGTGGCTCAGTTGGTTTTTAAGCGTCTGACTTCGGCTCAGGTCATGATCTCACAGTTTGTGAGTTTGAGCCCCACATGGGGCTCTGTGGTGACAGCTCAGAGCCTGGAGCCTGCTTCAGATCCTGTGTCCCTCTCTTCCTCTGCCCTTCCCCTGCTCATGCTCTGTCTCTTTTTTTTTTTTTTCTTAAATTTTTTAATGTTTTATTTATTTCTGAGAGAAAGAGAGAGAGAGAGCGTGAGCAGAGGAGGGTAANCGACGCGGGGCTCGAACCCACGAACCGCGAGATCATGACCTAAGCGAAAGTCGGACGCTTAACCGACTAAGCCATCCAGGCGCCCCATCTCTCTCTTAAACATAAATAAACACTGGGGCGCCTGGGTGGCTCATTTGGTTAAGTGTCTGACTTGGCTTAGGTCATGATCACATGGTTCATGGTGGGTTTGAGCCCCGCGTCGGGCTCTGTGTTGACAGCCAGCTCAGAGCCTGGAGCCTCTTTCAGATCCTGTCTGTCTGTCTGTTTCTCTCTCTGTCTCTCTCTCTCTCTGTCTCTCCCTCTCTGACCCTCCCTTGCTCATGCTCGTGCGCGCTTGCTCTCTCAGAAATAAATTCAACGTTAAAAAAATTTTTTTTGAAAAAAAAATTGGGGGAAAAAAAAGAAAATGAAGCCTTATTTGATGGGGGGGGGGAAGGTGTTTTTGTTTTTAAAAGTCTTTTTTTTTTAATGTTTCATTTCTAGGAGAGAGAGAGACAGTGTGAGCAGGGGAGGGTCAGAGAGAGAGGGAGTCACAGACTGAAACAGGCTCCAGGCTCTGAGCTGGCAGTCAGCCCAGAGCCCGATGCGGGGCTCGAACTCACGAACCGCGAGATCATGACCTAAGCGAAAGTCAGACGCTTAACCGACTAAGCCACCCAGGCGCCCCAAGGTGTTTTTGTTTTAAAAAAAATTTTTTTTCAGTGTTTATTTTTGAGAGAGAGAGAATGCATGTGCACACAAGTTGGGGAGAGGCAGAGACAGAGGGAGACACAGAATCCAAAGTAGGCTCCAGGCTCTTGAGCTGTCATCACGGAGCCCGACACGGGGCCTGAACTCACAAACTGTGAGATCATGACCTGAGCTGAAGTCGGCTGCTTAACCGACTGAGCCACTCAGGAGCCTGAGATGTGTGTCTTTATGCTTATAGGTTCTGTAGCTGTCCTAACTAGTGATTTTTGGTTTTGTAGTTCCTCAGTGATTTATATTGCAGCTCTGCATTCCTTCTTTTCTTTTCATATTCTGTTAGGTATCCCTTTACCTAATACTACCTGTAGTATTTTGATTGAGAAACTATTATAAGTATCACTACTCCCTGCCATTATAGGGTTATTGTATGGTGCTGTTATTTATGTTTTTTGGAGGTTTTTCTAAATGCCCAAACTAGTATTTCCCAAAATGGAAATAGATTTATTGCTTATTCTTTTCTTAAAAAATTTTTTAATGTTTTATTTATTTCTGAGAGAGTGTGTGTCAGTCAGTCATCAGGGGAGGGTCAGAGAGAGAGGGAGACGCAGAATCTGAAACCGGCTCCAGGCTCTGAGCTGTCAGCACAGAGCCCCACATGGGGCTCGAACCCACGAACTATGAGATCATGACCTGAGCCGAAGTTGGACGCTTAACTGACTGAGCCACCCAGTCACCCCTATTCTTTTTAAAAGTAAATTAGTAGGTGCCTGGGTGGCTCAGTCGGTTAAACATCTGACTTTGGCTTAGGTCGTAATCTCATGGCTCATGAGTTTGAACCGTGTGTTGGGCTCTGTGCTGACAACTCAAAGCTTAGAGCCTGCTTCAAATTCTGTGTCTCCCTCTCTCTCTGCCCCTCTCCTGCTCACGCTCTCACTTTTAAAAAAAATAAACATTTAAAAATTCATAAAATTTTTTTAATTTACTTATTTTGAGAGAGAGTGCAAGTGTGGGAGGGACAGAGAGAGAGGGAGAAAGAGAATCCCAAGCAGGCTTTGCACTGTTAGTGTAGAGCCCAACACGGGGCTCAATCCCATGAACTGTGAGATCATGACCTCAGGTGTAATCGAAGGTCAGGTGAAATTGAGAGTTAGTTGCTCAACTGACTGAGCCACCCAGGTGCCTCCTGATGGTTAATTTTACGAAATTATAATGCATATATTAAAATCAGGAAATTGACATTGGTCTAATGTGTGTGTATGGTTCTCGGTCATTTTTTTTTTTACATGTGCAGATTTGTGTAACCACCACCATAATCGAAGAGCTGTTCTACCACCACAGAGAACTCCGTTCTTGACCATGTCAACTAGTTTCATAACAAAATGAAATACTACATTATCCCCAGACTTTCCTAGATCTGATATTTATGGGTAAAAAATGGCATCTTAGGTATTTCTAATTAAAAAAATTATTTCCAAAGATTTTCAGTGTATAATTTCCCTTGTATAGTACTTTAGGATGGAGCTGATGCATACTGAGAAACTGAGGAAGGAAAAGGAAGAATTTGAAAAAGCCAAAATGGATGTGGTAAGATCCGAATGTGTTACCACATGTTAACAACTTACAGTGATTTGAGCCTGTCTAGGATTAAGAGAAAAATTTTTGAATGTGTTTTTGTTTCTTATTTAATGTCAATTTTGAAACTTTAAAATGAATCTAGAGTTCATTTAGTTAATGGGGGGTTAGTAATAAAAATGGAATTTTGTGCTTTAAAGATACACATTTGAGCTACTTGAAGTAGTCCTTAGAATTACTGATAGAATGGTAAATGGTTTTCTCTTACACTTTATGGTTTCATCAGATGACATCCTAATGGGTTGAGGGAGCTCGAGGAAGATTGTGAAATGTGTGGTTCCAAGTTTTCTTTCTTTTTATATAATTTTTTTGGTGACAGTAATTTTAAAGAAAAGTTGTAGAATGTTCGAGCTGAAAAAGGAACTTGCTATTGTCTGTTATTGTGGTTTCCAGCTCTGAACTTTTTTATTCCAGTAAAAGTTTACCCAGGAGGGTAAACAAGGCACATAAAACCTGACCTGCTGTGGTCCAAGTAGAGAGTCAGGCCTTAAGCCGTGTGATCTTGCCATCGCTCTAGGAGCCTGAGAGAGCTCATTGGGAAGATGCAACTGCATGTTGTACAAGTGAGGGAACTGGCCCAGGGAGAGACAGGGTTTGCCAGCGGTCAGCTGGCATAGGTAGTCTAGGACTGTCAATTTTCATCTGAGTGCTTTTTCTAGTTACTGGCACTATCTGTTATGTTTAATATAATACTCTAGGAGAATCTCGATTATCCTGAAGAAATCCTTAAGGGTGAGTTGGCACGGATTATCTACAAAAATTCTGTAAGCGTAATTAAAGGTATGTATGTTTTGAACATTTATTTATGATGGGAAAGTGCAACGTTGTATTTATTTTAGTTTTTTAAGTTTATTTTGAGAGGGAGAGAACGCAAGTGTGTGTGTGGGAGGGGGTGTCAGAGAGAGAGAATCCCAACCAGGCTCTGCACTATATGTGAAGAGCCTGACGTGAGGCTCGAAATCATGAACTGTGAGATTATGATCCAAGCTGAAGTTGGATGCTTAACTGACTGAGCTAGTCAGTGGCCACACAATATTCTATTTAAAATGAGGAAGACCAGGGCGCCTGGGTGGCTTAGTTGGTTATGTGACTGATACCAGCTCAGGTCATGATCTTGCAGTTTGTGAATTTGATCCTTGAATCGGGCTCTGTGCTGACAGCTCGGAGCCTGCTTCAGATTCTGTGTCTCCCTCTCTCTGCGCCTTCCCTGCTCTGTGCGGTCTCTCTCAAAAATAAACATTAAAAAAATTTTTAAATGAGGAAGACCTTTAGCTAATTTTGAGAATGTCTGTTAGTAATTCTGTCAGAATGTATATAAAATTCTATGGGAATAATGTCCTGTATCTTTCAGAAAATGTTGATAGCCCTTTAGGGTATACTTGAATATTTCAGTGAATTTATTGAGTAGTTAATTCACATGGAGAGTTGGAAAGAAATAATGTTTCTTTCAAATGTGATTTAGAACATTTCTTTATGCTTTTAAGATTAGAAGAAAAGAAGTACTTATGAATACTCCAAAATATTAGTAAAGACTTTGTGTAGTGGGGGCTATGGGTGATTTTTCTTTTCCTGTTTTGTCCTATTTCTCAAGTAATACAAAAGAACTCTAGTACATCAAGAGTGGTACTTTTTTGTAGAAGAAAGTGGTTCTTCACAGTGAAATGACACGAGAGTCTTACTCCCCTTCCCGATTTTTAAACTTTTAGGTGCAGAATTTCATCTGTCACTGCTTTCAATTGCACAGCTATTCGACTTTGCCAAAGATCTTCAAAGAGAAATTTATGAGGAGTAAGTAAGGCCACGGAAAGGTGAACGTGTCTCTTTCTGATCTTGTAATAAAAGTTTGAGGTTGGGTGTTTAGAAAGGGGGAGAGAAGATAACCACGGTAAGTCCTTGGAAGAAAAAAAGGTTTTAGGGGTATGACGTCATGGTAAGTGCTAGAAAAGTAAGTACCTGGAGAAGTTGCTTGACTTAATTCTAGGCTTTCCTTGGGAAGTGGTATGTCTTTAGTCACAAATGTATCCTACAGCTGTGCTGGCACGTCTTTTGTCCCTGTAGTGACAGTGGTCCTGGTGAGTGTCTGCAGGTGATTGCGGCAGGCCGTTGTATTCTTTACCGTTGGGGCGTGTTGTGTGAGAATTCTTTGCGGCCTGCCTTGTGGGTACGTCGCTCTTAGGTAGCACCCCTTACTTTCACGGGAGAGAAAACAACTTGGCTCGTTGGCTCTTTGGGTGTTTTCACAGTTTTGGTAGAGTTTTAGGTTGTGCTTGTTCTTTGTCTTTATTCTAGAAAATCAAGAGCCTGGATGTAATAAGTTTCTCCAGGGCTTGAGGATTGTCTCCTCACACATACCTGTTGATGTGACTTTGAGAGCTAACCTGTGAACAAAATCTGAAACATTCTGCAACCTGATGAGTGTGCCACAACTCTGATTGGTTGACAAAATGTAGACAGTGAGTGTGATCTCTGGAGAGCCTGCTGGGGAATTGTCTCGTGGTGATGAGATTGTTAAAGGACTGTCCCGGATGCATTTCTAGAGCATTAGGGAACGGTCTCTGCTTGATACTCTGAATTAGTCTCGTGTCATAGGGCTGATGCCAATAAACTGCTTTTCAGGCTTCGGGCTCTGCACACAGATGACCCTCTCACTTGGGATTATGTGGCACGGCGGGAATTAGAGGTGGAGTCGCAGCCAGAAGGAGAGCAGCCTGCGACAAAGCAAGCCAGAGCGGCAGAGGTGGGCCGGAAGGAGGACAGGTGCTGTGCTGTGTATGAGGAGGCAGTGAAGACTCTGCCTACAGGTGAGCTTCCCCAAACCTCGGTGTGACATCCACGTGGCAGTGGTCACGAATGTGAAGCGGAAGCTTCCGTTCCCATCTACCAGCGTCAGTTTCAGGCTTCTCTGGTAGTTCACAGTGTGCCTGCCTCCAACTTGTTCTTTGATGGTGAAAGATGAGCTTTTACGACCTTCCTCTATAGTAGTGGTATCTGTTTGGGAGGAGATGGTACTTAGGAAATGATAACTCAGAAGATTGTCATTTCTTAATTATCTTTTCATAGAGATTTATTTTCAGATTCTGTAATATTGGAATATTAAGGAAGAGGCGATATGTAACATGGATAAGGTTTTTACTTTTTCTTTTTTTATGTTTAATTTTTGAGAGAGAGAGCCCGCGCATGAGCAGGGGAGTGGCAGAGGGAGATGGAGACACAGGATCAGAAGCAGGCTCCAGGCTCTGAGCTGTCAGTACAGAGCCAGATGCAGGGCTTGAACTCATCAACCATGAGATCATGACCTGAGCTGAAGTTGGATGCTTAACCAACTTAGCCACCCAGGCGCCCCTTTATTTTTATAGTTAAGTCATTACTCAGTATTTGAGATGTTTGATTGGGTGTAATCAGAATAACTAGTTTTTTCCACCAGATTAGCTTAAACTCTTTTTCAGAGGAATTTTCCCTTCAAAGAAAAGATGTATGATGACTGTTAAATGGAGAGAACTGGTGATGTGATCCCCATAATTTCTCTGACTTTTCCAGAGGCCATGTGGAAGTATTATATCACCTTCTGCTTGGAAAGGTTCCCTAAGAAGCCAAGCAGTCCGTTCCTCAGAGAGAAGGTGAGGACCTACATTACATGGTTATAGGGGCTGACTAGAAAGTGACTGTTCTCTGTAAAAAAGAGCGGATGCATGGCTCCTTGGGGCTTAGGACAGCTTCCAAGAACTTCATGCTTAACCTAAGCTCTTTCCCCTTGTGGTTGACCTGTCATTCTGAAGGTCCAAGTCTGCTTCATCCTTATTCTGGTCACCTGATTAAGAAACACCCTCTTACTGGGCTGTGCTTGGTGCAGCTGTTTGGCAGTCAAAGCATAAGGGAAACTACCTTAAGTTCCTTTTCTCGGTTGCTCTTGTTCCTGTCAGAGGCCAAAGACCCCCGCTGGGATGTTTGTGACAAACTGAGGGATTTTTCTGATTTCAGAGATTGGAAAGGACCATGATGGCATTCAGGAAGGCACATGAACTCAAATTTCTACAAGAATTTCAGTACAAGCAGTGGGTAAGGGCACATTCACTGCCGGTAACATATTTCATTCCAGTTGGTTCTTGATGATGTCATGTGTTTTAATGTATTGTTATATGTTATATCGTTTGAGCCCCTTTGGATGTTTGGTATGGAAGATGAGAGACATGACATTTGGTTCTTAATTTTCTATATGCCAGATATGAAACTGTACCAGGAAAGAGAGGAATGTTATATGGTGGGAAATACCCAGAACAGGGAGTCACAATTTGGGTTTATTTTGTTTGTTTACCCATCCATCTTCTCTGGAACATCCTTTTCGAATATATGCCTAGCTCAGATTAAGCATTGGTAGGGTACAAATAAAGAGAAATTAGATGTGTTCCTGTGTTCCAGAAGATGACATTGTAGTAAGCAGCCTGCAGACGAACCCATGTCCGCTTGCTGGGGTGGGTAAGGGTGAGGATGGAGACCAGGATAATGCGCTGAGGGAGTTCTACATTGGGGGGTTTGTCACTTTACAGCTAGATAAACTTGGGCAAACCACTTAACCGTTCTGAGTTTGTTTCCTTAATTTTAAAATGATAGGGGCGTATGGGTAGCTCAGTCATATGAGTGTCTGATTCTTGATTTTGGCTCAGGTCATGATCCTAGGGTCGTGAGCTCAAGCTCGACATTGGGCTCCTCGCTTAGCATGGAGCCTGCTTAAGATTCTCTCCACCCCCCCCCCCCTTTCTTGCGTGCATTGCGTGCATGTGCGTTCTGTGTCTAAAATTAAAAAAGTGATCCTTTTGCCAACTCCCAAAGTTGTACCAAAACTGTTTGTACATTAACCTTTAAAAAATACTTTTTAAAAGTTTATTTTTATTTATTTTTGAAAAAGATACAAGGAGCAAGTGGGGGAGGGTCAGAGAGAGGAAGAGACAGAATCCCAAGCAGGTTGTGCAATGTCAGCACAGAGCCTGACGATTGAGGCTCCAGCTCACCAACCACTGAGGTCATGACCTGAGCCAAAATCGAGTCGGATGCTTAATAGACTGAGCTACCCAGACACCCCTTAAAAAATACTTTTTAAGTGTTTGTTTATTTTGAGAGAGAGAGCGTGAGAGAGAATGTGGGTGCAGGCATGGAGGAGCAGAGAGAGAGGGAGAGAGAGAATCCCAAACAGGTTCAGCGCTCTTAGCACAGAGCCTGATGGTGGGCTTGATCTCATGAACTGTGAGATCATGACCTGAGCCGAAATCAAGAGCCTGACGCTGAACTAACTGAGCCACCGGGTGCTCCCAAAATACTTTTTATTTATTTATTATTTTATTAACTATTTTATTTTTTAATGTACATGCAAGTTAGCATATAGTGCAATAGTGATTTCAGCAGTAGAATCCAGTGATTCATGCCCTCTGTATAACACCCAGGGCTCACCCTAAGTGTCTTCCTTAGTGCCCCTTTCCCATTTAGCCCATTCTCCCACCCACTGCTTCTCCAGGAGTTTGTTCTCTGTATTTAAGAGTCTCTTCTGTTTTGTCCCCTTCCCTGATTTTATATTATTTTTTATTCTCTTCCCCTATGTTTATCTGTTTTGTGTCTTAAATTCCACATGTGAGTCAAATCATACAATATTTGTCTTTCTCTGACTAGTTTTGCTTAGCATGATACTTTCTGGTTCCATCCACGTAGTTGCAAATGGCAAGATTTCATTCTTTTTGATTGCCTACTAATACTCAGTTGTGTGTGTGTGTATATATATCACGTTTTCTTTATCCATTCATCCATCAGTGGACATTGGGCTCTTTCATACTTTGGCTATTGTCGATAGTCCCTTGGAAAATACTAGTGCAGTTGCTGGGTTGTGGGGTAGTTCTATTTTTAATTTTTTGAGGAACCCCATAATGTATTCCAGAGTGTCTGCACCAGTTTGCATTCCCACCAGCAGTGCAAAAGAGATCCTTTTTCTCCACATCGTCACCAACATCTGTTGTTGCCTGAGTTGTTCATGTTAGCCATTCTGACAGGTGTGAGGTGGTATCTCAGTGTGGTTTTGATTTGTATTTCCCTGATGGTGAGTGATGTTGAGCATTTTTTTCATAGGTCTGTTGGCCATCTAGATGTCTTTTTTTTTTTTTTTTTTTTAATTTTTCCAATGTTTACTTTTGAGAGAGAGACAGAGTGTGAGAGCAGGAGGGGCAGAGAGAGAAGGAGACACAGAATCCGAGGCAAGGTCCAGCCTCTGAGCTGTCAGCTAGACCACGAGATCACAACCTGAGCCAAAGTCGGATCCCCTGAACCCCCAGGCGCACCTGGATGCCTTCTTTTGAAAAATGTCTATTCGTGTCTTTTGTCCATTTTTTCACTGGATTATTTGTGTTTTGGGTGTTGAGTTTGGTATGTTCTTTATAGATTTTGGATACTAACCCTTATCTGATAGGTTATTTGCAAATATCTTCTCTCATTCTGTTGGTTGCCTTTTAGTTTTACTGATTGTTTCCTTCTCTGTGCAGAAGATTTTATCTCAATGAGGTCCCAATAGTTCATTTTTGAAAATACTTTTTCTATATAACTAGGTAATGCATATACTGTCTACTAGCCTACTGTGTTACTCCATGACTGAGGTACTGTTTTCCCATTAGGACATCTGGGAAAGATCTCGAGCTTGGATGAGTTCAGCTGCTCCTGTATGAGCTATTGAATGCTGGCAAGATAGTCACACCCTATAAATTTAGATGGGCCTTGGCAGGCCTGTTCTCTTTCCATTGTTGCTATTTTGTCATTCACCCTTCTGGCTATTTCAGACATTCCCTCCTCCCCAAATCTCTGATGCTGCCCTTCCTGAGCCTACTACTAATCACTCTGGTGACTTTGCCTTTAATGAGAGTTCCTCAGTATAACACCTCTAAACTTAAAATGCTCAGCTGATTTCTGCATCCATCGTTTTTCCAGATTATTCTTTGCAGAATGATCTTGTAAAATTGATGATCAAATTATTCTGTGGCTTCCCACTGTCTTTTGGATAAAGCTGTCAATTTCCCTGATATGGCCTTGGCCTCACCTGCCCCTCACCTGCCCGTTCTCCAGTATACATTCCACCTCTCCAGCCATGTTGCTTGGATTTCCTTTTGTATCCAGCCTGTCTCTTGTCTTCAGTTCAGTCTCTTGTGCATGCCAGTTGGGAGAGCCGCCTTCTCTCACTAATCCCTGCTCTTAAGCCTTAGCATAAATGGTGTTTCCTATCTCATTGCTGCTGTAGATAGGTGCCTCTGCTTTGTATTCTTAGCATATGATTCTTATTCTGTCATGGCAAGTATCAGACTGTGCCTGTTAGACTAGAGGCTCTGTGGGTGGTAGAGTACATACCTGATTTCCTGATAATTGAATCTAGCATATGTAGTGTGCAATAAAAATGCTTGCCAAATGAGCAGATTACATACTGCCTTTTATTTGCTCTTCCACAGGTTTTTAAATTGAATTGGTTTTAAGTTTCTTCCCCCCTGTTAAGATAGTGTGAATATAAGAGATTTGAACACATAAGATTTCCTTCTGTTTATTTGATTGTTTGTTTTGTTTTGTTTTGTTTTTTTAAATATTTTTATTTATTTCTAGGAGAGAGAGAGAGACAGCGTGAGCAGGGGAGGGTCAGAGAGAGAGGGAGTCACAGACTCTGAAACAGGCTCCAGGCTCTGAGCTGGCAGTCAGCACAGAGCCTAACGCGGGGCTCGAACCCACGAACCGCGAGATCATGACCTAAGCGAAAGTCGGACGCTTAACTGACTAAGCCACCCAGGCGCCCCTATTTGATTGTTTAGTAATATTTGAAGTTCATTTATTTTGAGAGAGACAAAGACAGTGTGAGTGAGTGAGGGGCTGAGAGGGAGGGAGGGAGGGAGGGGGAGAGAGAGAGGGAAATCCCAAGCAGGCTCCTCGCTGCCAGTGCAGAGCCTGATGTGGGGCTCGAACCCATGTAAGTGTAAGATCATGACCTGAGCCACAACCAGGAGTTGGCCACTCACACCCAACTGACCCACCCAGGTGCCCCATGTTTGTTAAAATAACATTTCCAAGTTTTATTTTATTTAAAAAAAACTTCTTTTAATGTTTATTTTTTAACGTTTTATTTATTTCTGAGAGAGAGACAGCGTGAGCAGGGGAGGGTCAGAGAGAGAGGAGGACGCAGAATCTGAAACAGGCTCCAGGCTCTGGGCTGGCTGTCAGCACAGAGCCTGATACAGTACTCGAACCCACTAACAACAAGATCATGACCTGAGCCGAAGTCGGACGCTTAACCGACTGAGCCACTCAGGCGCCCCTAATGTTTATTTTTGAGAGAGAGAGTGTGACCCGAGGAAGGGGCAGAGAGAGGGAGACACAATCTGAAGCAGGCTCCAGGCTCTGAGCTGTCAGCACAGAGCCGCACGTGGGGCTCGAGCCCAAAAGCTGTGAGATCATACCTGAGCTGAAGTCGGATACTTAACTGACTGATCTACCCAGGTGCCCCATATTTGTTTTGTTTTTTTTGTTTTTGTTTTAAATGTTTTTATTTATTTCTAGGAGAGAGCGAGACAGCGTGAACAAGGGAGGGTCAGAGAGAGAGGGAGTCACAGACTGAAACAGGCTCCAGGCTCTGAGCTGGCAGTCAGCACAGAGCTTGACGCGGGGCTCGAACCCACACACCGCGAGATCATGACCTAAGCGAAAGTCGGACGCTTAACCGACTAAGCCACCCAGGCGCCCCAACCCCATATTTGTTAAAATAACATTTTAAGTTTAAGACACGAATCCTTCTGTGACTTTTGTTACATAGTGTCAAATATATTTCAGGAAAATTGTATTAGTTTATTGTGTGCCCAGCTCCATTGGAATGAACAAGCAGAGCTACTCAGGCACCCCTCACAAATACTGGTTTTGTCTGCTGATTTTTATATTCTATTTTGGTGGATGTGGGTTTTATTATAGTGAACTATTGTATTAAAAGCATAAGTTTCTTTTTCTTTCAATTTTTTAAGTTTTATTTTTACATGATCCTTAACGCCCAGTGTGGAATTTGAACTGACAACCCGAGACTGAGTTGTATGCTCCACTGACTAAGCCAACCAGGTGCCCGTAAAAACTTAACCTTCAGTCTAAGTTGTTCAGGTCTTCTGCTTTTAACATCGTCTCTGTTTTTTGGTAGCCATTAGGAATAAGAGCAGGCAATGAAAGAGGAATTTCAAATTGTTCACTTTTGTGCTTGTTTGGCAGTAATGGTAAAAATTTTAGTGGAAATGTTAAAATTATGTTCTATGAGATCTAGTTTTGGGGCACCTGGGTGGCTCAGTTGCTTAGGTGTCTTACTGGTGGTTTCAACTTGTCATGATCTTATGGTTTGTGATTTCGAGCCCCAGGTCGGGCTCTGCACTGACAGCACAGAGCCTGCTTAGGATATTCATTCTCTCCCCGTCTGTCCCCTCCCCCCCCACTTTCCTCTGTCCCTACACAGCTCATGGTGTATCTCTCTCCCTCAGAATAGATAAACTTAAATTACATTGTAAAAAAATGAGATCTAGCTTTCTGTAGTAAATTATCCAGTGACCCTTTGTCTTGTCTAGTTTGAGTTGCTGGTGCATCACAACTTCTTAAAGGAGGCTCTGGAGGTGGCGGGAGCTGGGACGGAATCGTTCAGAGACTCTGTCACAATGTGGCATATGAAGCTGCAGGCACTGATTGACTCCAAGAGCCCTGACGTAGCCATGGTTTTCGAAGAAGCTTTTGCACACCTGAAAGCCCAGGTCTGTGAATGGGGTCTTTTGTCTTTCATTCTGTTTGGGAAACGTTCTGAGACTTGTGCCAGAGCCCACTTGGAGTGGTGCATTTGTGCCAATGTGTCAAGCGCCAGGAGTAAAAGGATTTACTTCAATTTAATAGCCTATTTCTAATTCATTATTTGAAAAATGACTAAATCATATTATTTGAAAAATGACTAAATCATATTAAAGTTTTTTATTTTGATATTTTACAAGTAAGAAACATTAATAAATTATTTGTTGTTTCCAAAGCTGAACTTAAGCCTGATTTTTATTATTTATTTACTTTTAAGTCTGTTTTTTTAAATCTTTATTATAATTTTTGAGAGACACACACACACAGAATCTGAAGCAGGCTCCAGGCTCTGAGCTGTCAGCACAGAGCCTGACACGGGGCTTGAACTCCCCAACCACAAGATCATGACCTGAGCCAAAGTTGGACGCTTAACCAGCTGAGCCACCCAGGCGTCACTAAGCCTGATTTTAAACACACACAAGCACACACACACACTTTTTTAGTGTTTGTTCAATTTTGAGAGAAAATGAGAGCATGTGAGGGGCAGAGAGAGGTGGAGAGACAGAATCTGAAGCTGGCCCTGTGCTGAAAGCAGAGAGCCCAATGCAGGGCTCAAACCTGTGAAACCTGAGTCGAAGTTGGACACTTAACTGATTGAACCACCTGGGTACCCCTAAACACAGATATATTTCTAAACCTTAAAGCTTTGTACTGAATCTTTTTAAAATTTTTTTAAATTTAATATTTATTTATTTTTTAAAATCTTTGTTTTTAAAGATTTTATTTTTAAGTAATCTCTACACCCAACATGGGGCTTGAACTTAAAACCCTGATATCAAGATTTACATGTTCCCACTGACTGAGCCAGCCAAGCCCTTAGGCCCTTTCATACCTGAGTGGCTTAGTCAGTTAAGCAGCCTATTTTGATTCAGGTCATCATCTCACGGTTTGTGAATTCGAGCCCCTCATCAGGCTCTGTACTGACAGTTTAGAGCCTGGAGCCTGCCTCAGATTCTGTGCCCCTCTCTCTGCCCCTCCCCCACTCATGCTCTGTCTCTCTCAAAAATAAATGTTAAAAAGATATTTAAAAAATATGTTAGCAGCCTTTTTATATTAGTAGGAGAAAACTGTTCTGGAAGTAAAAGTGGGAAAAATTCTTAAATTACTTTGCTGCTCATTTGTGTGTGTCTCTAAGACATGAATAAAGATGAGATAGTTGAGCCTGGATTGGGTAGTACTTGTATGGTGGGTCCCCAAACAGCAGAGATGTGACCTGGGTAGCTGTGGATCTGACCTCCTGTGGACTCCTCATTGCTTAATTCAGAGACACCTGATGATAGCTGTAGGCAGTGCTCTCCAACAGAAGGGAGCCAGCTCTGATAGGAGGGTGCTGCTTTGGGGGGTGTGGTCCGGCTTGCCATTCCTACTGGGCACTGAGAGTGTGGTCATAGACTGGAGACCCACTGGGAGTGCATCCGTATTTTACATCTTCGTTATCTTAGCAGGACCTTGTCTCTGTAGTGACTAGTTTTCAGAGCATAGTGCTAAGCCGTCATTTTCTAAGTTTTTCTTTCTGTGACCAGGCTTGTCTGCCATTGTGGATTTCTTGGGCGGAGTGGAGTGAAGGTGCCCAAAGCCAAGAAGACACTGAAGCCATTTTTAAGGTCTAGGCCTTGTGTTGTGAGTCTTGTGGTGGGTGGGGAAGGAGCAGATAGGTTCACTAGCTGGCTAGCTTTCGGGTTATTTCTATAGCCGCTGTTCGTAAAGCACTGTTACTTGAGTGGCCTGAGGTGGTTCTGGAAAATATGCTTTGATATTTGTAAATTTTCTCATGCAGTTTGTGTCTTTATATTTTTAATTGTAGAAAGCTCTCTTAGCTGTCAAAGGTGCCGACTCAGTCACTCTGAAGGAGAAGTACCTGGACTGGGCTTACCGAAGCAGTGGCTACAGAAAGGCCAGAGCTGTGTTTAAAAGGTATTCACAGGGGCTCCTGGTAGGCTTGCTTAGTAGAACGTGTGACTCTTGATCTCCGGGGCACGAGTTTGAATCCCATGTTAGGTGTAGAGGTTACTTAAAAAAAAATACTAGACTCTCTCATTGCTCGTCTCTCTACCCCATACTCAACTCCTCATACCCAGATTATGTGTATAGCAAAGAATATCTGAGGAAGGAATCCAGGAGACCTTCAAAAAGTCTTTTTTTGAACAATAAAACCATTCATACTTCTTGTGGAAAATCAAAAAAAGGTGATAACTAATAACTCGTTGTAATCCCATCATCAACAGAAAAAAATACACGGTTAATTTATTCTTTAAAAATTTTGTTTTCACTTATTTGAGATTATGCTATCCTCACATTTTGTGTATCGCTTTTGTTGGTGAACATTGCACTGGCTGTTTTCAGTAACAATTTTTCATGAACATCATTTATGAGAAATGGTTGTAAGTATATACCGCTCTGTGGATGCGCCTGATTTATTTGGCTTTAGTGAACATTTCTCTACAAATATTATTTGTCCGTGTTGGTATATATTCCTTTAGAATATATTCTTATAAGTGGAATTATAGGTCATCTTCAGAAAAGACCTTGAGATGTGGTAGAGGGTGCTTCAAACTGTAAAAGTGAGGAAGAAGAGAACAGGAAGAAAACTCGATAGGAAGGAGTTTGGGCGGGGGGGTGAGCGGTAAGTCGTCAGACCCTGAAGGTGTTGAGAGTGACTGGTCATCAAGTCCAGGCCTTGCCCTGTGTCGTGGCCAGGTCTTTCTGTTAAACTGTGGAGGCGCAGACATACATATTTATGAGTTTGTGGGATGTAAGAGGCTTTTTGTCTGTGGAAGATAACCGTTTTCTCCCCCCCCCCCCGCTTTTTTTTTTTTTAGTTTACAGGAAAGCCGTCCATTTTCAGTTGGTTTTTTCAGGAAAATAATCCAGTTTGAAAAGGAGCAGGTAAGCGTGCTGTCAGTGTGTTCTGTTTCTGGGAAAATGGATTAATGGTTAGTAATCTGTGGCAGCATTTTGTCATTGAGAAAGGTCTCATGTATATGGTATAAATTTCTGGTCTTTTCATCTGACCATTTTTTTAGAGAGATGATGGTTAAGGCATGGCAGTCAAGCACAGAAGACAAAGTATATGCCTGGAAAGTGGAAAGCTCAGTTGTTACCTCACACGGGAGACCCTCCCTGCCAGGTTGGGAGGTGCTGCTTCTGCGCACCCCCCTCCTCCCCAGCATCCCGTTTGTCTCTTGTGGTGGAGAGTGGGCACTCAGTAACTGTTTCTAGTGGGGTTTTTCGTTTTTGGCTTTTTTTTTTTTAAGTTTTATTTATTTATTTTTGAGAGAGAGCAAGCGAGCACCTGCATGTGTGAGGGAGGGACAGAAAGAGAGGGAGAGACAGAGTCCCAAGCAGGTTGTGTGCTATTAGCATGGAGTTGGATGTGGGGCTTGAACCCATGAATCGTGAGATATGACCTGAAGCCAAAACCAACAGTCAGATAGATGCTCACCAACTGAGCCATGCAGCTACCCATTTCAAGTGGTTTTAACTGAACTTGTCAGTAAGGAAAATTACAGGAAAAGTCTACATTTAAAAAATAATCTAGGAAAATCCAATAATCGCATTACAATAATAGAGCCAACTGTATTTATTTTAATTTTGATTAATTTTTTTGTTTACACGTATACTTACAAGTTTTATTTCTGACTTACATGCCATGTGGCGATTGTCCTTTTTTTTGTTTTTACTTAATATTGTTTTGTAAACTCATTGCTGTGCATTTATATGGTTATCATTTTTAATGGTTGTATTCTTTTTTTTTTTTTAATTTTTTTAAGTATTTTTATTTATTTCTAGGAGAGAGAGAGAGACAGCGTGAGCAGGGGAGGGTCAGAGAGAGAGGGAGACACAGACTCCGAATCAGGCTCCAGGCTCTGAGCTGGCAGTCAGCACAGAGCCCGACGCGGGGCTCGAACCCACGAACCGCGAGATCATGACCTAAGCGAAAGTCGGACGCTTAACCCACTAAGCCACCCAGGCGCCCCTGTAGTAGTATTCTTAAACCCATAGTTTTCTTTAAAAAAAATTTTTTTTTCTTAATGTTTTATTTATTTCTGAAAGAGAGAGACAGCGTGAGCAGTCAGAGGGTCAGAGAGAGGGAGATACAGAATCTGAAACAGGATCCAGGTTCCGAGCTGGCTGTCAACACAGAGCCCGATGCGGGGCTCGAACCTACGAACCGTGAGATGACCTCAGCTGAAGTCAGATGCTTAACGGACTGAGCCACCCAGGCGCTCCAAACCCAGTTTTCTTAATCAGTCCATTACATATAGGTTGTTTCCAGATTTTTGGTAATGAAAACAAGTGATGTAAGCAGTTTGTTTATACAGCTTTTTTATTCTTTTGAAGAATAATTCAAATTCTTCAGGTAAATTTTTGGGACTGGAGATAATAGTTGTTTTATAGCTCTTTATATATTGCAAGACGGTCCTCCTAAAGAAGTGTATTTCTTTTATTTTTTTAAAATTTTAAAAATGTTTTTATTTTTGACACAGAATGCTAGCATGGGAGGGGCAGAGAGAGAGGGAGACAGAATCTGAAGCAGACTCCACGCTCTGAGCTGTCAGCACAGAGCACGACGTGGGGCTTAACTCACGGACTGTGAAATCGTAACCTGAGCCGAAGTTGGACATGACTGAGCCACCCAGGCGCCCAGCAGTATATTTCTTTATAGTGATAATCGGTAGATATATTAGTATATTTATTTCCTCACATCCTCTCTAAATCTGCAGTTTTGCATTTTGTCCTTTATTTTGGTATTTTGGTGTTTTATTTTCCCTGGAATTTTGAAAAATCGCTAGTAAGGTTATTTTTGTAGTTTTTTAAATTATTCTTATAGTTTTGATCATCATGTGTGGGTCATTTATCTGTTTTTGTCCTTATAGTATAAGAGATAATATAGCGTAATAATTAATAACCAGGCTTCAGATTAATAACATAGTAGTTATGTGCCTCAGGCAATTCTAAACCTTGGTGTCCTCTTCCATAAAGGAGGTCATGATACCAGTTTCAGAGACGTGCAGGTTATAAGACCAAAAGGGGGTACTGCATAGAAAGGACTTTGCACAGGGCCCCTGCACGTTACAAGCCCTTAACAAAGAGTGATTGTGTTTTTCATCCACACGTATGATACAAGGTTAAATTGATTTTTTAAAATAAACTAATATAGTCTTTAGTGAAGAGAAAATTTTTAAAAATTTATTTATTTTGAGTGGGGGAGGGGCAGAGAGAGCAAGCCAGAGGGAGAGAATCCCAAGAATCTGCACTGTCAGCACAGTGCCTGATGTAGGTCTTGAACTCAAGAACCTGAGCCAAAATCCAAAGATAAGACACTTAACCGACTGTACCACCCAGGCACCCCTAGTCAGCATTTTAATTTAATACTTGTAGTTGCTGTAAGAGGTAGTAGCATCATTGTTTTATGGGTGGGGAAACTTTTAAGGTCAGAGAGTTTAAAAAACTTGCTGCAGGTTATATAATTAGCCTTTATGTAGGCTTTGCTTTCACATAATTTTTTAAGGTGGACATAGCTAATGTGTGCCAGAGTCCAGATGCACCAAAGAAAGAAATCCTTAGCTACAGGGAGTAAACCTTCCCAGTGTACTTATTTAAATCCTACTCTTCCTTCAGGGTATTCAAATATATTTTCCTCTGAACCTGCCTCTGTTCCCCCAACTGAGAATTAATTAGGCTTTATTCCACATTATCATAGCAAAGTGCTTTTATTACTGTTTGACATTGACTTCACTCTGGTGTCTGCTGCATTTGACTTTTCTCTGAATAGGTTGAGAGCCAGGCTGTATTCATCCTACACCCTGAGCCTTCTCCCCTGCAAATACCTAATGGGCAGTAGCCACTTAACAGTGTGATTGAAATGTATTTGTGACATTATGAATTAAACTTTTGAGGCAAGATTGTCTGATTATTTTGCTAGGAATTCTGCAAGATGGTGAACTTAAGAGAATATTATGAGAGAGCTTTGAGAGAATTTGGAGCCATAGATTCTGGTAAGTAAACTTCAGTTATAGACACGTTTGTTTGCATGTGTGGTCTGTAACCCATCAGTGTGGTTAGAACGGTGTTTAACTCTCTTTGGGTCATAACCTTTTTTGAGAATAAAAATTGCATCCTATCCCCGCCTACTCCCTTCCTTGTGCATAAATACCTGCAGACATAGTTTGGCTTATAAGTTCAAGTTCACAAGATTTAGAGTCCATGGGTCTTCTTTTCAGAACTCTGGATTAGAGAAAGTTTTGCTTGATTTGAATCTCTTAAAAAAAAATGTGACCTCTAAGGGAAAGTTAGTAATGTTAGAATAAAAGAGTGGGAGTGATAGGAAAGGTAGAGTGGGATACTAATCGACATTAGTTTTCATTGGCTGTTTCCACATTGGCCATATTGAGGCCCTGTAAAACATGTTCCTGGCTATCGGCATGTCATCTAAATCCGTTTACTTATGAACTCAAAAACATTGTATGGTGGTTAAATTTCAATTAAAAATATATGTTAGCTTTTACAAGGTTCTTAGCAGACTCTCTTCTGGTGGGGTGAATGAAAATTGCATTTTTAATAACCTAAGCAAGTTTTATTAAGCATTGGAACAAGGTTATAATGAATTCATTGAAACTCAGGTTCACCTTGAAGGAGACTCAGCAAAATCCTCCCTCTAAAGTTTTTAGTATTTTTGATTTATGAACTATGTAGACTGTCATGATTTAAAGTGAAGTTTTTCACTTAAAAGTTTTGGTACTTCTCAGTGTAAAGCTGAGAGAGGTATTGTTTCACATAGGGCTCTAGGGAAATAACAGCAACAAGTTAAGTTTCTTAGAAGTCTTCTATTGAATCAGTATTAACTAGTTTATGTAATACTTGTCACTGATCTACTTGTACCTTACAGTAATACCTACTGTTTCCCTTTAAAGATCTTTGGATCGATTACATCAAAGACGAACTGAGCCACCCCCGTGGTAGACCTGAGTACTGCAGGCACATCTACTGGCGAGCCGTGAAAATGCTGGAGAGAGAGTCAGCAGAAGCATTTGTAGCTAAACATGCTCTGTATCAAGCCTGCTGTTTGTGACCAGGGGAAGAACATAGCCAACTTTGTGAAATAGTGTTGTAAACCCTCTTGGCTGGATTTGTGTTACGAGTTCATCTGCAGTTTGTTGAGAGATGGCAGACAAGATGGCTGTCTGGCTTTGCGACACGCTTTTTTAAAATTTTGTTAACGTGTTAATTTTTAATTCCAGAAAAGAGAATTGCTGTTTAGTGGCAAGAGGCTATTTGTTAAGGCCTGACATTACTGTAGGGTCCTAAATGTCTCCCAAAATGTATGGAAATTGTACAACTGAGTTTCTCTTGTTACCCTTGGTCAAGGATGAGTAGCTCTAATTTGGACCCACAGGCCAGTAATGATGGAAGAGGAAGTACAGTTCTATTTGTTTGTTCTCTCCTTATTAAAAAAGTACACATGGGATGCCTGGGCGGCTCAGTTGGTTAAGCCTCTGACTGTGGCTCAGGTCATGGTCTCATGGTTTGGGAGTTCGAGCCCCACATTGGGCTCTGTGCTAACAGGGTGGAGCCTGCTTGGGATTCTCTCTCCTACTCTCTGCTCCTCCCCTGAGAGCATGTGCACACCCTCTCTCTCAAAAAAAAAAACATTAAAAATGTTTTTTACAAGTATACATGGTGTACATTTGTTATAGGAAATATAGAGGGAGCAGGGTACTGTGGAAAAGAATATAACAGCATCCTCTAAGCTCATCTGAAGTTAAACTCTGATTTATTTTATGACAGTTGGATTTATCCTGTTAGATCATTCATTCATTAAGTACCCATTGGGATGGAGATAGGGTTTGGAGGGACAGCTGGACGTGTCAAGGGAGCTTGTTGAAGCAACAGAAGAGGATGCTGGCTGTTAGGGGTAAAGTCCTTTAGGAAGATAAAGACATGACAAAAGTGTCTTCTATCTGGGACTGATCTTCAGAGAAGGGTCTGCAGTGGGGAGGTCCAGTAACAAATGGAGGACGTGGGTAGGGAGCAGATGAGAGCAGCGGAGAAGGCCTTCTGAGGCAAGAGTGGAGGTTGGCTTGGAGCAGGGAAGGCAACCGTTGGAATTTCACGTCTTTTAACCTAACACTGAGGTCACTGGGGAAGCATTCAGTGTGCAATATGGGTCACTTATGTTATTTTCCTGTGTCATTAAATAGCCTTAAGAGCATTTAATGAGTTTATAACACTCCATTGTATGGATAGCTGTGACTTATTATCGCCTTGTGGTTGGATCTTGTGTAACTGATGCTTTTCTTACAAATGCTGTTGATGATTCATATAAATCTTTGTTCACATCCCTGGTTATTTCTTTAGGAGATTGATACTTGATGGTAGGCTTACAGGATTAAAGGATATACCTGGTTTAAGGAATATTGATCTGTATTGCCAATTTGCAGCGTAGGAGGATACTTGCATGCAATGTAGGAAAATGTGACCTTTACCTGTGGTGGGCATTAATGAAGTTTATGCGTTTTTCCTGGTTCTCTTGTTTTTTCACGTTGACTGTTTTTTGAACTTCTTTCTTACTCATTTAAAATAATGTTTAAAATATTTAAGAATATTAATTTTTATTTTGTCTCCTTTATTGCAGATAATTGGCTTCTAGCTGTGTGTGTGTGTGTCTGTGTGTGTGTGTGTGTGTGTGTCTGTGGTTTTTGCCCAGAGGATGTGTGTGTATGATTTTTATTCCTCTTGCCTTAGACAACTCATTTTTCCCCCCAAGCAGTGAACTAAGTTTTCTACAACACCATTTGTGACTGACTCGTCCTTTTTTTCTGATTGGTGGTACTACTTTTATTATATGTTGAGTTCTAATGATATCAGAGTCTATTTTAAGGCATTTTTACCTTGAGATTTTGTAGTTTTAATTGCTGATGGTCATTTGTTTTAAAATAAGAAAAATTTCCTCTTTTACCTTTTCATTGAGTCCTGGGAAGTTTAACATTCTAAATCCCTACGTGGCATTTTTGCCTTAAGAAGGTGGTGGTTGGTTCCTTAAAGCAAGGCGAATGAAGATGGGTCACCTGGGGACATCACAACTCCTGTGTTTGGGGCTCATCAGTGCAGGCTGTGAGGATGCATCTGGCTAGGTCATCTCGAGCACCCATGTGTGGCAGTTTACACCTGATGAAATTATTTTCTCCTGTGTCCTGGCCACATATTTACCATATCGGACAGCACAGATAATAGAGCTTTTATCTCCACTGTTGAAAGTTCTGTTGGAGAGTGGTGATTTGGGTCCAGTTAGATTTTGAGAAACGGATTCCTGGGTTAGAACAGTGCAAGCAATAATTGGTCACATTCTTTTCCCTGCAGGAAAGTCTACATAGAGGGAAGAAGAAATACTGTGTATCACCTGGTACCCTAATTTTTTTATAGGTGTAAAAATTTTTATTTAAATTTTTAAATTTGAGTGTAGTTGACACAATGTCAACATTAATTTCAGGTGTACAACATAAGGAATTGACAAGTGCTGTGCGGCTGTGCTCACAAGCATGGCTACCATCTGTCACCATACGGGTCCACTACAGCACTGCTGTTTCCTGTACTGTATCTTTTATGTCCCTGACTCATTCCGCAGCTGAAAGCCTGTATCTGCCACTCCCCTTTACCCACTTTGCCTCTCCCCCCCACCCCCATTATGCTAGTTTTTTTTTTTTTCCAAACGTCTTAGGAACACATCCTTACGGGGAGATGAAGAAAAAAGCTCTCTAATGTCCTGAAAGGTGGTCATAAAGTGGCCTAGTGAGCAGGGAGTCTCAGCTTCTAGGTTTTCGGTTTCATTATGGAGTGTCACACCCTTGAGCAGGTTTTGTGATTAAGAGTTGAGGCAGTGTGGGGAAAGGTAAGGAAGGGGGACTTCAGAGTTGAATTTATCTCCAGCTCAGACCCTGCTGATCTGCCGCTGCCCTCAGCTTGTAGAGGGCCAGACTTCGGGCGTTAAAAAATTGAAGCCCAAGCCAGACTCCCTCGACAGCACCAAATGTTGAGGATTACTGTGACTGCCCTACAGTGTCTGGACACCGTTTTCATCATCTGCCCTGGTTTCTAAGAACCGTCATTAACAACGTGGAGAAATCACTGAACTGCTGGGCCGTCTCCCGTTTGTGGGTGCCTCACAGCCCAGTTCCAGCCTGAGGTCTACAGAACTGTGGCAAATGTGGTCGGATCTAAATTGCATTCAAACTTTTGAGAGCTGAGCTTTGTGGACTGTCAGGTAGACTCAGGTAATGTTCTCACCAGGGATTCGAGATTTGGGGGCCGAAGCACATAAGCGTGGTGGGGTGGGGATAACAGCTGGCGTTCCAGACCCAGCCAGGCGCCTTCCCTGGGATGTGCGCTGAGATGAAAACCAGATCCCGGGACCCTAGGAAGGGGGCTTGGGCTGTCGGGCGCGCCCCGCCCCTCCCGCGCCGCGCCGCCCCGCCCCGCCCCTGGCTTCCTCGTGACCCGTGTCCCGCCCCCGTCGGCCGGGAGCACCCCCGGCTGATTGGCCCCTCCGCGGCGTATCCTCCGGCTGGCAGCCGGGCGGGCGCGTCACGTGGCCGAGCAGCGTCCAGGGCGCGGAGGCGCGGGCCGCCAGGCATGGACCGTCAGGCTGCCGGAACCCGGCCGCTGGGGGCTGCCGAGCCGCCTCGGGGGCCGTCGCTGCCGAGCGCGCGGGGGGCGCCCCCCAGCCCGGGGGTGAGCGCGGCCGCCGCCTGCGGCGCGGGGCGGGAAGTTGCTGGGCTCGCGGGCCGGGCAGGGCCGGGCGGGGGCCGCGGGGCCAGGCTGGGGGCCGCCGTTTGCGCGCGCGCTGGCGCTGGAAACGGCCGGGCGGCGGCGGCGCGGGGCCGCTGGGCGGGGCCGCCGAGGGCGTGGGTGGGCGAGCTGGACCGGAGGGCAGGCGGGCTGTGCCGGGGGCGCCTCCGCCGGCTTGCTGCATGGGAAGCGCTGCCGACGACCAAGAGCTGGGGGCTGTTGCGGGGGGCCTGGAGCGCGGCCAGGTGAGGGCGGCCGGGAGCCCGCCGTCGCTGCAGGACCAGTGACCGTGGGTGGGGATGCACCGCTCACCCTGGGCACCACATGATGTCTCATGCGCTCTCCTTTTCTGTTATCCGAAGCCAAAGGCCCGGCCTGACGCAGGGTTTCCAGAAACTTGTTTTCATTTGCGCGCCAGACAGCTCCTGGTTTTTCGAAGACCGTTATTACGGGCATCACCTGCCCTTGTTTACAGTTCGTAAGTTCTGCTAGATGGCGAGCTCCGTAAGGGCAGGAACCCTCCGGTTACTGCTGTTAACCCGGCGCCTAGTGTAGTGCCCTCCCCGATAGACACCCATTAATTGGAGGGAGGATTGGAATGCTTATTTACGCATCAAAGATGGTACTGAACCAGGGTAAGAAAAATGTAGTACTAGTAAAAAAAAAAAAAATTACTTCGGCGTGCAGATAGGATGGACTGATTTTGTCAGGACGTAGCAGAAAGGGATGTGTGCTTCCTCTCCAAGGTGACAGGGTGGTGGCGGTGCCTGCGGAGGTGTGGAGGTGAGGAGGAAATGGCTGGCAAATGGCCGAGAGCTTGGGACGCAGAGCCTCTGGGCCAGGGGAGAGAACTGTGCTCAACAGGTTTATGGGCTGTGATGGGGAGGGTGTGAATGCCATGGCCAATTTTATACCCCCGTGTGGTGGGCTGTTGAATATTTTTGAGCAGAGTGGTGATTGGTACTGTCAGCTGGACAGGGGTCTATGGCAGCGGTCCACTTAAGGGGTCCTACAGGCCGACCCGCAGTATTGACCCTGGACTGTCCCCAACTACGGGAGGTGGAATTTATTCTTTAAATCTAGGAATGACTAGATGGTGAGCTAATTGGGGCAGGTGCCAAGTACAGTTTCAATCTAGGGGCAGAGAAGCTGGATTTAAATTCAACAAATGTTACATTCCTGCTATGTTATAGGTGTTTTCATAAGCGTTACCCCCTCATAAGCCCCCTGCAAGGTCAGGACAGTCATCTCCACTTTCCAGACCAGGAAACCCAGGTGCGGGGTTGATGTGATGTATCCAAGTCACACCCTGAATGAACGGCAAGAGCTGGGGTTGAAACCAGGTTTCTATATGCAGGCAGTGAACATTTCTTGTTCTCCTCAAAGTGGTCTTTTTTTTTTTTTTTTTTAGACAGCAGCTTTTTTTTTTTTTTAATGTTTTATTTATTTCTAGGAGAGAGAGAGAGAGAGAGAGACAGCTTGAGCAGGGAGGGGAGGGTCAGAGAGAGAGGGAGTGACAGACTCCGAAACAGGCTCCAGGCTCTGAGCTGGTAGTTAGCACAGAGCCCGACGTGGGGCTCGAACCCACGAACCGCGAGATCATGGCCTAAGCAAAAGTCGGACGCTTAACCGACTAAGCCACCCGGGTGCACCTAAAGTGGTCTTAGAAGTGACAGGATTTCA